AATGCGAACTAATTAATGATATGATAAATTGTATACAAACCTTGATTCGTGAGGTATCCGAGTTAGGACAGTCGTCAAGGCATTTCCAGATATAAGTGCATCAAACAGGAATATGACAGCGCTTGGCTGTGTCGAAATACACCTTACAATCAAGGTGCTTCAAAATGCGGCAGGTCACCACTGTGTCGAAGAGAGAATATGACCAAAGTATACGGAGTCAAACAAATAAGTCCAGGCAGGCAGTGACATGAAGCTCCCATATTATGAGCCATTCATAAAATAGTTGGGCGCACACAATTCGACCTCTCAACAAACAGCGGCAGGCGTGCGTGCGTGCATGTATCCATGTGTATGTGTGTGCGTGCGTGCGTGTGTGTGTGTGTATGAACAGGTGACTCTCAAGGAGCCACCAAAACAGGTCACATGTTCGTAGGTAGTTAAATAAACGATAAATGATAAGCGGTGAACCGATACGGAACAAGGATAGACGGAACATAGGTTAACCAATATATAGTAAGGGAAAATGGAGATCATAAGAGAACTCGTGTGGTTGAAGTCATACGAATGAGCGGTGTGCGTGTGTCTGCATGTCCATCTACGTGTCAGAGACTGGGAGAACTAAGCACTCACTTGATTATGTAAGAAATCGATAACCAGAACGAAACGAATATCAATGGGACAAATAAGAAGCGATAGAGTGGGCAATAAGACGAAAGAACACAATATATGTATATATATTTAGATGGTGAATGTTTGGATTAGCCCATTCGGTTTTTCACAGGCACCAGGCACTGTTGATGGTGTTCGATGTATATATATATTCGATGTACGGTTTGATATACGATTGTTCCATCGTTTCTCCTCGTATTGTTTCCCTCACCCATGACTTCACTGAGCTAAGTTACCCTCTGACCCTAGTTGCGATCTGATTGGACAACCTTCCACGACTTACGCAACTCGTGATCTATCAACCTAATACGAGCCTCTGTGATCATCGGTTCGTCATGTTTGTTATGCCCTTTTTGTCACCTGTAGTCCAGTCGTATGATGATGATATTCTTGCTGTGCGCAGTCGAACCTCGCTGGGCCTTCTAAGGACTCCAAGCGAGCGGTTCGCGCTAGCTGGTTCATTCGACCAATCGATCATGTGCCTGTCAGAACGGCATCCGAGAATAACTTATGAGTCCTATTCTACCCGAGCGTTTTCAGAGAATCATCACAGGAGTATATGTTATGGAGCGATGTACTATCCAGGAAATCGATAACCGAAAAATTATGCTATTATGACCTTGTATCGACAATCGACTGATCTCAGATTCTGTCAGTAGTCTTCTGAACCAGTCCGAAAAATGGATACAAAAAGTTCAAGATCACTCGATTTCGACCAGTTCGGGCAGATGTTTGCAGCATTGAGCCGATATTGGGAGGACTGACATTAGGTAATTTGGGCTACTTAGGCGTTGGTACAGAGTAGTCGAGAGCAGTTGGCAGTGAACTACCGACTGAGGGTTCATTCAACCTAAAAAGTTCATCTACGACGCACTTTGCCCTTATCAGCAAGGAGATGCGCTAATTATGAAACAGAGGAATTTTTATAAATGGTAATTCTTGTAGGAGCGAGTAAAAAAAACTCGACCTAGTTGAAGGATGTGAACGACCAGTAGGTAAGTTGGAATAAATAGGTCGTGCGTAATCAGCGATGATTCTGTGAGAAAAACCTTCACAAGATCTATTTGGAGTTTGCATAATGTGGTAACCATAAAGCCCATAAAAATAATTGCAACGCGGTCGAAGATGGTTTATCCATGATGAAATCTATTATGAATAAGACCGGGGGAGATAGCAGTGTTATAAATCTAAAAGGCGGTGCTGATCAAAGGTACAGATGAAAGGTCAGTAATTATGCAAGCATCACACAAAAACCTAATCAGAAACATCCCATCGCAATTCTTTCCGATACATAGGGCAATGTATAGAGCAATCAGTAGTTATTCTTCCAAACATCTCACTTGGTCTTTGATGGTCTTGTTATACTTTTGATCATCCAAAGTTACCTACTATTCATAAGTGAGTAGTATCTCTTAACCGCGGGAGAGCAATAGACAATAATAGTTAGGGCGTGGATAAACAAAGGAAGGGATAACAGACTGTTTGCGCAGTAAATTGCCTCGGTCCGTGGGTATGAAAGGGCAAATATATGAGTTTGCCATCAGCACTTAGGATATGGGTAAACCAACTGCAGTTGTTTTGCATGGTTCCCTCAAGATGTCCACACCATAGACGAGATAGCCGTCAATGAAAGAGGAGTTCACTGTGGTACGATGTGCTCGATAGAGTGAAGGTACATTCAAGTATTTAGATAAGCTAATTTGAGAAAGGTTCAGAGACTTGGTGCTAAGTGGACGACAGCGTGTAACGTAGAACAGTTTTTGTGTGAAGAAATTGGAAAGAATCTCGAATACGATTTAGCAAGAGCACGGACGGCAGGAGTGATTTCACATAAAATGTTGTAGGTCGATATTCTAGAGATAGGGAAAACATTAACACGTTTACATGAATTAGGAATTCCTTTACTGTAAAAGAGAAAATTGTTTCTCCCATTGGACATTGCAATCAAAGCCAAACACTCCTGGTCATGACAGGTGACGAGTATATGAGAAACTATGATAACCACAGTAATCTTTTTAAGGTCGTAACTTTGTTCTTTTATATGAAAAGTAAAACTCTGGGACTGTAGAAGCTTGAGGATGAATAATCGAAAAGAATTCTTCGTTTCAATGGTCTTTTCAACGAGCTTGTTCACCAATCTGTTTTTTCTTTCAATTTGTCCTGTGGGACTACTCAGACAATTAACACAGATCGATTATCAATGATGGTTATTAACTTTGGGATGCTTACAAATTGAATATTGCCTTTTTCAGTGAACCGTTTTACAAGATTCTGGTACCAACAGTGGATACTGTACGATATCACTTTTTGGCCACTCAAATGGTTGAACGTCACCAACCGGTTCTGCTGATGGGTCCGGTTGGGACAGGCAAAACCTCTTTGGCTGTGAATATTTTGAACAGCCTCGATCCGCAGAGCTGGTCCAGTTTGACCATCAATATGTCCGCTCAGGTCAGTTAAAACGCATCTGATCATAATCTGACTTTCATTATCTACAGCTTTTGCGTCGTTATTCATCTTTGTTGTATCGTTTTTAAGTGTCAACCCTGTAGTTCGTAGGTAAAGGTTTTAGGTTATCGCGGTTGGAATCCCAAAAAGAGCTCAAAATCATACGGATCGTCGGTGGGTGCCAACTGCGACGAAACAATTGTTCATTACTCGCTGTTCACATACATACACATACATACACATATACACACACAGTCCTTCAAAAATAAAATGCATCAAACAGATGGGGAATACAAAAAATTCTAGTGAACGAAACCCGCCAAAATATAGGAGTACGCAGGCCGTGCTATCTGCAAAAAACACCATAGAAGGTAATGCATTTCTGAGTTCCCCATTATCGATGTGAACGTGGCACCTCGAAACGGTTACGTTCGGACTTAACTCACAGTTAGTTGTGAGTTGTGGTAGGAGAAAATTTATATTGATTTGAACTAACCACATACTCGGGAGTGTATGGTTGACTGGATGAACGGAGCATTCCGCGTGAAGATGAGGTCTGAAGGAAACGGTTACAATTGAATAAACCAAACAAGGATGAAGTGATCAAACAAACGTAGAAATCACATTCTGGGTCGGAATGTCAAACAGTGCAAAAGTATTCATTTTCACAGTATTAGTTCGTGAGATTTATTGCATAATGTTTTCTGATGACAGAAGTAGCCAATGCTCTATTCGACACCTGTAATTTGGATTGGCTGAGATGATTTACTGTCGAGAAGCCATGAGACTGTGATTTTTGAATAACTGCTCCTCTTACCAAGGGGAACGTAAGAGTTTTGGAACACAAGCAGGACTGTAGAGCACTGATTCGTTTCAACAGGAACGAAGTGTGCTTTCCATATGTCTATTACATATGCCGTTTTAATTCCATTTTCGTCACTGAATTTACAAATATGTAATAAATTTGGAGGCAGTCTAGAGAGCAGAAACTAATATTGCATTTAGTAATACAAACAAATTCTAATTCAGAAAAGAGGCCTCAGTAGCTGTCTGCTTGGTTATGAACTTCAATCCCCTACTGAAGAGTGCCTTCCGGTTAACTACGATAAGTCCCCCCCAAATACGACTGTTTATCAGACTACTTCAAACAATGTACAAGATATTATCGAGGGCCGAGTGGAAAAACGAACCAAAGATACGTATGTACCGATGGGTGGTACAAAAATGCTAACTTTCATGGATGATTTCAATATGCCGGCAAAAGATACGTTCGGATCTCAACCACCGTTGGAGTTGATTCGTCAGTGGATCGATTACGGGTTCTGGTACGATCGAATGAAGCAGGCCATACGTCGCATCACCGGAATGCATTTATTGGTTGCGATGGGTCCACCCGGAGGTGGTCGTACAGTGATATCCAGACGTTTGCAATCCAAATTCAATCAGCTTGTGATCACATTCCCGACCGTAAGTCTCTGTCCCGGTGTGGTCTTGTCATTGTAAACGGTGATGTATACCGGCTGTGAAAGATTATGCAAACACACCCAAAACGAGATCATTCATTTTTTCCCCTAATCCCTTTCCCTTCACTCATATCGCTTGGACATTTGATAATTTCTGAAGATGATTCAAATCTCCACAGTTCCCAAGCCAAGTTAACTCCTTTCTGGTTAGGAAATCGGTTTAAGAGTTGCATTTTTAAAAGAAACATGAATAAAGCTTCTGTTTCGATTGGTGCGACGTGTGTGACCGTCTGGAATATTCAGCAACGGTTACAAGGAAGCCCTAACATCTATCGTTACACAATTTATTGTCGCAGTGCCCCCTCCTTTGGAGCGAAATCCCACACAACCGTCACTTCTTCTGATTGAACATCTACTTCTGGTTCTGACGGAAACTCCGCAAGAAATAGTACGTCCATCAGGTTGTATACTTGAAGGAAACAGAAAAACAAACCAGTGCTACAGTGAAGCCAACTCTTGGGCTCTCATCCTGTGTTGAATATTAAATTCTTGAATAGATTTAGCTTTTCTGAACGCTATAAACTATCCACTTGGTTCACAGAAGTTCAGCAGAGTCCTGTGATAAAAGAGGTCGGTGAATGTTCGTTAATTTTCGGGCAGGTTATGAAATGCTGTGTGTGCTTAATTGTTTACGGCAATCAGTGATACCTTCGGTGAAGTGCGTTGCTAGTGATCAATCACAGGATTTATGGCTGCCTGGTTCAGCTAATAAAGAAATTCAAAGCATGTTTGGATATGTAGACTATGAAGAAAACCTTTGCTTTGCGCTCATATTTTGTATATCGAAAAAGATTTTTCTCAACATTATCGATGATTACGTTTTAGGAATTTCATTATCGTCCTGAAGACATAATAAAGCCTCTTCTGATTTAAGATTCACTTAATATTTTGCATCAAAGCAATTGAATGGGCCAGCACCCCAAACACCTTTTTGAGAAGATAGGCAAGGAAGTTATTTCCAATCATGCTTGATAGAAAGACTATTACTTTGTACCGAAACAATGACGTTACTATTAGAACGTGGCGACAAGGAAAACGAACTGGTTGAGTGTATTAATGGTTTCCATGAATAGCGTCATTCAAGTTGCAAAATTATCCAGAGAAGTTTCATCAGAATCAGGACTGGAATTTTCGCCTCAACCAGAAACCATAGAAAGTTTTCAAGTTATACACCAGAGGCAACAGCGTGAGGCACAAATAATTTCTACTGATAGAAAACACTGCAAATGAATTTTCTTGTTTACTACTTCTAAGCACCCCTCACGAAAGCGAACAGCCTCGCGATGAAAAATAAATTAATTTCTGGAGGAGTGGGGGTACTATAACATTTAGACTCGGTAACTGTGTGCCACGAGACAGAAGCCTATGATCATTTCGAGTTTGGTTGTATGGTGATACTTGTTCAAGTGAACTATAGTGTGAAGCAACAGCAGGTTGAATATGAACACTGACTTTTTGTCCATAGTGGAATTAAAGCAAACAATGGCCGTACAGAAAATGGTCCCAGTGAAAGATAAAGACCATTGGAGTAGTGTTTTGATCTAAATTAGTATAATGCGCGCGCTTTCAACATTCTCCCGATGGGCGTCCAAAAGACAACAACCAAAACCGGTGCACGAAAGTGCATGGTTAATGTTTGTTCAAACTGAAAACCTCCGATGTACCTATGGGTTCAACGTCCTTTCATCACAGTGATCCATACATTTCCATTTTATTCTTTGTTTTTCGCATTTTGTCTTTTTAT